TAATAACCATTTTTCCTAAGTAAATAAATAACGAAACAAAGACAAAACCAAGTTTGTGTCATTTCCACGAACCTAAAAATTAGTCACATTAATTTCAAGAATAGACACTTAATGTCCTGATTTTTTTAGAAGATGTCTTTCACAAGAGTGAAAAACACATTTTATTAAGGTTATCACCTCCAATGTTTTATAATTACGTTATTACATCAAAGACACGACAAGATGTTTCGTAACAAAGCCAAGTGATGAATACGAAACGTTGAAAAACGTAACGCTAGACATCCACATTCTGTAAAAATAACAAGCTCGGTTCCCGCACATATGACATTCTTGGAAATTTTGTTTGCAAAAATTTGATATGCGTAAAACAGACGCATAATGTAATACGAAAACGGATGCCGTCATGGCTATTTGAAAGTTAAGTGTAAACCGGTAAATGGATAGTTTTATGGAGAAACCATCAGAAAGTAAGTTAATAGGAAAAAAAAGTTGGCATTAAGGTAATGTAGGTACTTGTTTTTTCACGACTCTCTTATTTCTATTTGTGTTTAAAAAAGGAAAACATAACAATTAGCAAGTGGAGTGTAAACAAATATACCTTCAAACGTAGTCCGCAGCTAATTTATTTTGTAAATAATGGCAAATAACACGGAGCGATGCTGCTCATGTAGTTAAGGAAATTACGGGTAAACTTTGTGTTATGTTTTTTAACAAGTGGAAAAATGTAAACTGAAACAATAATTTTAATTAAAAAGTTTCTCACCCAATATTTCCCTGCTTCGCCAAACACGAATTACAAAATATCTTCTAGCTGCGGTAGTTATTACTATAATTTTCATCTTTTTGATGAAATATAGTTACTGATTCATTTTTTGATTTACACAGCGATGTTCTTAGTCAGCTAGCTATCATAAAAACCCTAATTACGAACGCTTCTTCAAAAAATATGCCGTACCTATATTGTGTCGTAAATATTTATGAATTTATGGAAACGCTATGAGTCAGGAGGAGTGAAGATCAATTCGTGAGAGCCCATTTTTGAATAATAATTATGTATTCACTATCTATTACAAACACCTACATTTAAAAAAATGGTCTATAAAGTTATTTAGATATCAAGTCCTATAAGTTAAAATAAGGATATGTATCTACATATGTAATGTTTAATTCAAGGGTAAAGCGTGATATGTGTATGTTTCAAGTGAGCGTTTGAATTACAAAATTTTGTGATAACATCCTCGACACTTTTGCAATGACACGTTTATTTCGTACTTGTACAATGGGAGAAGGTCTTGGCCAGGCAAGCGGATTTAAGTTCTTCATTGTTATGAACTCGTAAAAATCACCGAAGTGGCATAGCAATTAACCCACACCCGTACGATATTTTTAGTCGAACTTTGCTGTATTGATTGCATTTTCCGTGCCAGAATGGAAACCATTTTTACTTCCCAAGCGTAAGCAAAGAAAGTATTGTAATCGAGTCATCCGGCATCATGTTTTCTCGACGTTTCATCACCGTATGTCTGCCTGTGTGACTGACTCTCTGCCGTCAGTCACCTGTCGTCTGTGGCGATTTTTATTAGACAAATTCTGCGAAACTATTGAACCCATTGTTGTCAAATTTTATATGTATGTTAGGAATGTCGTATAGATGATAAAACACTAACCAAAATTTATCTGATCATCCCCACCAACAACTCCATTTAAATTATATAAAGAAACGTACTCATATACTTGTGGTTCATGAATCTCCGTCCATTTTTTTTTGTTTTTTTCACAAAAAATTGCATCATTACATTTTACCACACTGTAAGAGCTCAGACGTGTGGCGAACTCTGTGGCCGTGCCGCAAAAATGTTGCATTACTAACGGGAAGCTTTGTGCTTTTTTAATCCATTCATACTTTTGAAACTTCTACTTGACCGTTCACCCGATTTCCCGGCATTCCGCGCTAGACCAAATATAAAGAAGTTTGGCCATTTTTAGTTCCCGAGCGTAAGCTAACGAACTGCCACTTTCATTTTTTTTATTGACAAAGTCACTCAGGGTTCACCCTATTTTCTCGAAAATGTAAGAATACGGTAATGTCGCACCCGTCTATATTTAATGATAATAAAATAATAATTGCCATTATGTATATGGAAACAGTAGATAAATTAGATAGACGCCATATTAAGAAACGTCGGCTAACAAAAATTTCGGCCATCATTATCATCAGAACAGAAAAAAAAAAAACAAAAAACATTATATAGTTATAGCAATTTTGATTTGCGAGTTGCTAATAACAGCAAACATCAAACGAGTAATGAGAAAAATTGTTTCACGCCAATGGATAGCATGCTTTTTTAATTGTACTTTAGCAGTACAGAGATATCCTCGTTTTAAGTTATAGGTTATAGGGCTTATCATAAAAAAAAAATTCACAAAATTAATTTTTATAATTTTTCAGAGAAGCTGTAGTTGTTCTACTGTACTTTAGGGTGAGGGAAGTTCTGTCTAAATAATTTTTGACGAATGTTTTAGTACCCACGAAAATTTCCACTTTGACTAATACAAAATGTTTAATGATGAATTTTGGCGAAACTTGAAAACAGTGACTGAAGTACTATTTATTTATGTTTCTCCATGCACATAAATAAATATTGTATTTTTACTTCCTGAGTGTAAGCTAAAGAAGTATAATAAGTAATCGAGTCCGCGGGCAATTTGCCAGTTTCATGTTTTCTCGTTTTCTTGTTTTCGTGTGTCTGTCTGTCTGCCGTCTGTGTCGATTTTTATTAGACACGTAATCTCCGAAACTACTGGGCTGGTAGATAGTTAAACGCTAACCGAAATTTGGCTAATCATCCCCACCAACATTTTGAGGATATCATTTCAAAGAATTGGGTTTTTTCCCTAGATGTTCAAATTTTTGCAAAAAAATTAACACAGTATAGTAAAATTTTATATACGATATTAGGATATAACCCTTCCTGGGGTAGCAGCTAAGGGATCAGCATGTTCGATGCCAAAGTTGGCCGTTTCTTTTTTTTCTTTTGTGCTATGACTAGTATTATCTATGTTGATAACGTCATCACAATTTTTTTAATGATTAAATTAAGCACGAGTCATTCGAAAATGTGAGACTACGCACGTTTTTATTTATTAATGATAATATAAGAATTATAATATTCAGAATATTTTGTTCGAGTGTGGCTTAATTAGCAATTTTAGTCCTCTATTGTGAGGAGACAAACTCATTCAAATCAAACTAATTTCTACGTGACATTTTTTCGATGTATACACATAAACACTTGAAGTGAAGCTTGTTATTAATGCTAAGAGGATGTTTTCCAGTTTTTATCTATTTCAAATATATTTTATTGTCGGTACTTGGGAGCGCAAATTGGGGTTAAAACGAAAATTGCAAGTTCTGTCGAAATAAACTTCAACAAATTTTTAAGTGCAATTTCTGAAATTGCTGGTCGGTCTCACGTGTTCAACACAAGGCAAAACCTGTGTAGACGCCGACTTTAATAAATCTCATAGCATTTACTTGCGGTTTAACAACCCAATTCTATTTTTAACTTAATGTAACGGATTGTCTCAAAAAATAACTCGAACAATCAAATTTTACAGTTCACCTGAGACTGCTTCCAAATTTTGGTGAAAAACTAAATCTCGTTTAATAGTTGCAAAATATTAACTCAAAATATTAATTTATCCATTTCAGAAAACTGATGACGCATAACTACAATTTTCAAATCCACGTTATAAAACATGCGGTTATTTGTCCTTCAGAAGCGGCAGAATTTAAATAATGTTTTTTTTATCTTTTTGAGGTTTCACGATTTTTTACATAATTTACATACATACAGGTATAAATAACTTTAGTATCGCTTACATATATATGTTTTAATTTTTTCTTATATTTTAAAAATGCAGATAATACTAAGTATTTATAAAAACAGAAAACGCAGTCAACTTTTATTTTGTTTCAGAATGTGAGTCTGAATTCTGTAGACATTCTTAAACAGCAGTTTTAAAAATTTCTGTTGAATTTAGTTATACTTATTAGGTATTTACGTGGAGTGAGTATTTTAGGACTCTTTATTTCAGCGAAATAATAATCACAGCGTATTTCTGCTTGTGGCGGTTTTATGTGTCTGGTACAAAAGTATGAACATTAACTTACGCCACAACGTACAATTAAAACTTAAGTAATATTGATGGAATGCGTATTTTAACATAACAGTTTTTAAATAATTATACCTTTTGTTATACCTGTATCACGTTGACATGGGGGCACAATGATAAAAACTGGACATTTTAACATATTCGATCGCTACTTTTCTAAGACAGAAATATTCAAAACTTATTTGCACTATTTTTCAACAAAATATGAATAATAATAGCTGCAGCTGCGTTACACCAACCATTAATTTTCTTAGAAAAACAATTAAATATTAACATTGAATGTTGAATAATTGTACGTGTGGTTAAATATTCACTAAAAGCACACGGGAAGTCAGTACCTACCTACTTAATGTATAAGTCTGTAAATGTTGAATATCAAAGTCAACTGAAATAGACGCATATATAGGTGAACTCGTTTGTTTAATTGAACCACAAACACGTCGTTACATCAAAATGCACTTTGCTTCATGCTTAACTGCAAAGATTGATTGTTCATTGTTCTATTTTTCAAGATTACGGTTGCAGCGAAGAAAAATAGAACTTTTTCAGGTATGCGCTTCTAGGCACACATTAAAAACAACCAATAAAACTTCGCGTCTCCAGAAATTCTCTTAACATATTTGAAGAACGACCGAGAACAAATAAAGATTCCGAAACTTTTCCGCCGCTGAAATCACAACAAGAAAATGTGTCATCATTACATGAAAATTCGGTATAATTCCTAATTGTTTACTATTAGTTATTAAAAATGAAATGATTCATTCAAAGTGCGGGTGGCGAGAGCGCGCGCATTCCTTTTCAACCGCAATCCACTATCTAGCTTCATAGTTGACTATTCCATGCTTGCTTGTTGTACCGGAGCGACGAACCGGAGCAGCTTTACGTACACTGATACAGTCAGTTTTACAGTTGGTGGTCAGGTGGATTACCTGAGTGAAGTGTATACCCAAGTTGAATAAGAGCCAAAATGTGTGTTTCGGTGGTCAAATTCGAGTTGGATTTGTGACTTTTCGGTTAACCAGTGTTTTGGATTGTTGTTTACAACATCCCAACAGGGAATACCAGCATTTGCTTAGGTAAGATTAATATTCCCACAATGGCATATCCGTATTTCCCAGAATAAATAAACATTCTGACGGGTGATAACGTCGATGATAAAGGGAACACGATAAAAGTGTCATCTATTGATATAAAGTTCGGAAATCAAAATTTTTCCTTTTTGTACCTCGTTCTCCGTGGGAAATTTGCTTCCAATGTTTACAGACAGTTTGTGGTACTTTGAGGGGGTACGGCAACAATGTAAACGACAGAACGGACAAAAAGTCAGTTCTGTTGTATTTGTACGTGTCTGAAAAACTTCTCAGTCGAGAGGGATCTTCGGCCTAAGAACTTTTCCAAGTACCAATTTTCTTCACGGTACTCATATGCGCTTCTTATTGTGGTGTGGTTTCTTAGTTTTGCTTTGAATAACTTGAGGATGGAAAACATCATTTGCAACCTTTTTAGAGGAAGGTTATAAATGCAGCCAAGTTTTTAGGTTGAAACCTTGGTTTCCATGGCTCTTTAGTCGATATAATTTGTGTCAAAAATTAAAACCATACTGTTATTGAATCCATAAACATTGAATTAAATGAATGTATAAGAAATCAATTTCTATAAAGTTGATTTTAGGTCTTTTGATCCTTGGATCTTCTAAATTGTTATTAACTCAACTTATTCTCCCATTTTTTTTTTTGATCCTACAGAATTGATTTCGAAAAACATGCATGAATGTTGAATTAAGTTCATGGTGATGTACTGATGTAATTTTCGACCATGTCACAGGACCTCAAACTCGAAGGCCTGTAGGAGTCTCCTCGACGAAAAGTTTCCTCACTCTAATACAAATCAGTCAAACCACAAACTGGGTTCAGTTTTTGTCCGCACCAATTGCAGTCACAATAAAAATTACCCGAAAAACTCAAACGGCTTTGACAAATTTTGTGGTTGAATTGTCCCTGAACTGAGTGCTGCAATGCTTCGCAATTAATGTAAACACCGGAAAAAAACCGGAAATTGCAATCGCGGTTATGAGTCGGTATCTGAAAGAATTGAAATACTGAAAACGAATCAAGATGATTCACTGGAAATCTACTTTTGCGTTAATTAAATTCCGGAGTCGCATTAAACAGAAACAGTCGCAATAATATTCTTGTTTTATTTCCGTTTTTTACGTTTACTGTTCTTATACAGTCCGTAAACTTTAATGAAGTTAATAAACAAATGATGTCATATTTTCACGCGTCATTAGATTAATACAAGCATTTGTAAGAACATCGCGATGTTTGTCCATGATTTAGCCGTGGACGATTTGGGGGGCCATGGTTCGGCGCGTTAATTTTTATGCTAATTAATTAAAATAGCCTTCCTCTATCAGTCAAATCAGTTTCACTTTGCAATTTTATGGTATTTTCGTTGTTCTTTTTTGTATGAGGTACGAGATAGGGGGAAATGCCAAAATGTTTTGCTTTCGTATATGACCAGATAATGTTTATCAAACTCATAAATGACGATGATCCTGATAAATTATTTTTGTAACAATTGCTGCCCTCATCCAATTGTGGGTTTACCTCGCAACTGATAAGCTCACATCGGTTACCCCACTAATAATTTTGCAATGATTGCTCCACGTTTTTTATGACGGAGACACTTTTCTAGTAATTGTATGAATAATTTATATCAGACAATTTTATCCTGCATTTTGCACGTCGCTGACGATCCACTTGTTACACTCGAAACATATTTGGAGAGGTACTGAATACCTGCATCCAATATATATAAAATATGAGCGCAATTTAAATTTCTCTTTCCAAATACGAAAATGGGTTAGGTTCAGGTGAACGCACCTTCAAAATATTTGTTTTAATCAATGTCGCGCAAATATTCGAAACTTTTACTTATGATACATACATTTTGCTCATCTCGTTCATTTATTAGCGGTTTCCTTTCGTTTTTCAATCGGAACTTGCTGAAAAGTTTGTAGTTTTATGAGGAATATTACCCTTTATTAACTTTTCTAAATTCCGCTGAGATCCGTGAAAGCTGCATCTTAAGGAATTCGAAGATTTTCATCGGAACTAATTCGATTACTGGTCTTGAAAGAAAGTGCAGGATTAGAAAAGGCAATTAATCAAATTTGTTTATTGTTTGATGTAACCGGTTCGCCAATTTAACATCGTAGGCGTTCCTAGTTTTAGTGATGTCTAAATAAAACTAGTAGTGTATATAGTGGTTAAACACGGTAAAAATTATTTTGTACATTTTTTTTGACAACAGTGTTTCTTTTCTGGCGTGTCTGGTAAAATAATAATATGTTTACCAAATCTGCGCTACCTAGTGGCATATTTAAAATAATTTTAAGAAAGGTATGCATATTAATAGTTCTTTTCTAATGGTGTGCCTCTTTCCAAATTAAGTTTTGTAACTCTCTAGTGCATTTGCATATTGTACAACTTACCACAAACAAATAATAATTACTGTGAAATCACAAATTAACCGTCAGTTCATGTGTGTCGATGGATATCTATCTGTTCGTAGCTTTTCAAACTACTGTAATCGAAATCTACCGATTCTTTAGCGCGCTTCCTAAAAAGAACCGCAAAAGGCCCGTTACGTAATCAGTGCGTTTATATTGCAAGCACGACTGATGCTTCTTCTTAATACCATTTCTTCAAATTCTGCACACATGGTAGTCTCATCTAAAGCAAGCAACCCGTTAAATAAATTACAAGCTTTATCCATTTCGTGCTTTCCCACAAGGCTTTGTTTTATAACAAAATTTTGAGATTTTTTTAGGTCCCGATTTTTTTAGACAATGTAGGCTAGTAATTTGCTGAAGATTAATTATTATCACCATTGGTACTTTTGTTTCAAATTTTGCTTGGTATAATATGCACTCAGACAGTTTAGTTTGCCCCCACATATACGAAATTTCGAATGTAGTGGCGGAGAAAATACGGATTGTGACAAATGTTTGTTCTCCGACCAAAAAGTTCGAGTAAAAAATTGACGGGAATTTCCAGACCGTAGCCACTATTTCCAGAGCTTTTAAATTATATGTCTTGCCTCTGTCATCTGATAGACACTACGATCAAAGAATGGATTCGCGCTTCATGTTGTTGAGTGACTAGTTCTTGAATTATTCTATTTCACTCTCTAGAAATATGATGAAATAAATCTAATTTAATATTTACTGGTTTGTTGGGGAAAGGTCATCTTTCAAATCTAGTTCTTATAAAAATTTATATGACAGCACTCGACTTTCATATTTTTCTGCTGAAATGTTGCCTATTCACAAACAAAACCAAAAAGATGAAAGTAACGCAAAACTTGATACACTATCGAGATTTTCCAAAGATTATTTAAAACTTCCGTTCAATTTTTAAATGAAGAAAGTACCGTAGGTGCTTGAATTATTCAAAATGTGATTGATTGTCTAACACGAAGCCACTTATCCAATTAAACGTCGTAAATGAATCAATTTCATGGGACAATTTACCACTTTCTACCGCTTTTAATTGAAGTACCTGTTTCTTCAGCAGCGCGAACTCTTGAAGTTTGCCCTGTACAGTCGCGGTCTTTGACCGTTTAGTTCCAAACCAGCATCGCCTGAAGGAACTTTCAGAATGCACGGTGACGCATCTACCTCTTATCATTCTTTCCGTCAAAGCTTTTTCTACCTGATCCAGTCCAGACCCAAAAGGGTAGCCATTTTTTCACGCAGTTAGACAAACATTCCTAAAATTTCTGTGACGTTACGTGTCAGGAACAATGCGGACTGGATCGTTACAAAATTTTTATGGTAATCCGTGTGGAAGCACGTAGTAACCTTGAAAGCGAACAGGTTTGCAAACAGCCCTATTTTGCCTATTTTTGTGTTTATAAAGATCCTTTGTTCGAGCATTATCAGCGCGTTAAATGATAATGACGTAACTCTGCACAGTTAATGTATCAGGCATTGTTACGGCAGTAAAATGCCAAACATTGCATTTAGGTGTAAGGAGACAATGGTTTACACTTTCAGTTTGTTTCCTTTGATTGCAAAATGCTGTCTTAAGTAATGACTTAAAAACGACAGTTTATCCACAATAAATTTGTTAACGATTTTGCCAACACGCAACAATTATTTGTTTCGAGCTCGAGATGACCCAGAAAATAGTTCGTGCGCATGTAATTCGGTTTTGAAAAATTAATATTTCAGCGAGTTTTATTGTTAAAATTGAATTTTGCGCTCGACGGAACGAGGGCTAATATTGAAATTTTGTTGCGTGGCTATTTTATGGTTCGCCTCTAATGTTGTAATTTTTCAGGCGGATGATGTATCATCTTCGTACCTGAAAGTTAAGTGAAGTTAAATTGGGTATTATAACAAGCTAACGCAACTAATCAAAAGGTTATCCCTTGTTATTTAAAGGTTAAAATTTAGACTGCTGAATATGAGAATACACGAAATGGCAGTTGAAAGGGATTACGGTCGTTCTCTTTCTCGTGTTAAAACAAACCGTGATTATAATGAAAATGCAGAAAATCCACTGTAAATTGTGACTAATTTTGTTGTTTTTGTTGGTTCCTTTCTAGGTCACAAAAAGCTGGCGTTTACAGAGGTGTGTAATATTAATTTAGATTCGGTTTGAGAATGTTTTCTTTACGTATTTCAGTCACCCGATGTCAGTGTTAAGTGTAAGAAAAGTCCGATTATTAATCTTTAAAACTCATTTTAAAATCGGGGCACAAACTAAGTGCACCTATTTATTTTTTTCGCACCAGTAGAAGCAGTAGTAGTAATAGCAACACGCTTAACTTCGAGTGTTTATGTTAATACTTCCAAAGTACTCGACAATTAGAACGTTCAGATAATAAGCATCAGCGGCCGCATGCATTTGTGTTAAAAGAAAATGAAATTTTATTAATTTTGTCTCCTTAAAATAGAGGAGAGAACTGATTAATTAATTAAGTTACAGTTGAGCAAAACGGTCCGAATATTATTTTTGGTGAGGAACTGTTACTATGATGATAATATTTACTGTATTCTTATATT